CCACGCCATGTGGCAAAACAAAATTGTCATTGCAGTCGGAGTGGATTCATTGCACCAAAAAAGAATGTTACAGGACTGTCAGCCTTGCAATGAATCTAGGCAACGAATCTGAATGAAACCCACCAGCTTCCCTCTAAGGAGAGAATAACTTCAAAGTTGTGTGATCTGAGATGTTATTTCACAAGGCTACTAGAGATGTTGCATTGCATCAAATAATTGAGAGGATAAAAACATCTTCCCATATCATAAATTTCAATATTAAATTCTGTTTTAAGAAACAAAGGAAAATTGTCACAACTGGCTGCCATAAAAATTGACTTAAATATTTTTCCTAAAATGCTTGAAAAAGACTGCAGATAGCAATTTATGATTCACAAAAAAGATAAAAATAGTAAAGAAACAATTGTGCTTCAAATACTTTGAGATAATATGTCCCTAAAATGGGAACTCAAATTGAAACAGATGATTTTTTCCCCAAGCAAAATATTTGAAACTAAATTTGAAGGTAAAGTCAATGGAGCAATCTACCGGGGAGTGCTGACCCAGTTTGTTTTAATCTGTCAAAGCAGAATTGTTCCTTCTCCTGTTAAAAAAAATACAAAGTGCCTGACTTAAAAATATGCAGATTTTCTTTATTCTTTTCATCGTCTTCTAACAGACTGCTTGATCTTTTCTTATCTCCTGTTTTTATACTGAAATTACCTTTTCCCTGATTTTTTCTTCTTCATGGACATTATTTGTGTATATATGTCTTCTTTCCTTGCTTCATCTTGTCTTTTCATTTTTTTTCAAATTATGTGGCTTTCAGAATTTTGATTGTTAAATGATATTGTTAGGCATGCTTAACTTCTAGTTGTAACAAAGTATATATACTTCACTGCTAGGTTTATGATAGGAATTTCCAGAAAGTTTGGAGGGAAACAGTTCTTTGCTAAGATTAACTGAAACTGAGCTTGTCAGGTAAGTTGACTTGTTCTTGTGGATGCTGCTGGAGGGACAGGAAACTCATGCCTCAGTCAAACACTGTCAAAACCATTTCGATTACAAATTCAGTACTTTTACAAATGTTGGGAACTCAAAAAGAAAATGGATTGTGAGATGGTTTTTTCATCCATTCTGATAATTCCAACCCTAGTATTCAAGGAATCAAATCAGTAAGCTGAAGACCAACAGTGATCAGAAAAATCAAGTCAGGAAAGAGTCATCAGACAGTGGAGCTATCAGAGGCACAGTGGTCCACCTTACATGAATGGCAGCAGAAGTCAAATTATTGTAACAGTCACATTCTGGAAGTAGTTTAGGATATTTGCTTATGGCTTCTCCATAAATTGTATCCTAAAACTGAAACCTTAATCCTTTCCAGACAGATTGTTTTACATCCTTTGTCCTATGGAAATTTAGATAAATCTAACATACCTTGTTAGTATTTATAGTCTGCTATTTACAGGTACTTCTTACTATAGTATTCATTATCATACAAATGAATGACTTGGAATAATGAATGAAATCTGTCAAAAGTGAAATGTATACAACTGGCAAAAATTTTACACTGGATAATAGAAAGGAAACATCCACAATTTCATTTAGAATGCATAGGTCAATGACATTTTCTCCACCTTCTTTCATGAGTTGAGTAATTAAGATTAATTGAAACTGGGCTTGAACGATAAGTGGATTTATTCTCATAAATACATTGGCTGGAGAAGAGACTGGAACCTTAGCTCTACATCGGACTATCCCCAGGGTACTTCAGCTTGGTTATATCCCAAGTATTTTGATCTCAAAACTCAAACTCATTAAAAAAAAAAAACCCTCATAATCATACTTTAAAGGAACCAGTGAAATCTATTCTTTATCATCAAATTCTAATTTCTGTGAATACTATTATAATAAAAACCTGTTAGTCATAGATTATGATTTTATGCCTACATCAAAACACTCAATGAATCTTTTGTCTCCATCTTTTTAAATTCTCTTCAAATGTTTCTTACTTTTCCCACTGTCTCTATAGTTCTAACCCTAATAGCCTACAAGCCAATACTGTAGTAATTCAAGTCTCCTTTCTCCCCAGTCTTCTATTCTGAAAGCTCAGCTTGCCCAGTGCTGTGGAACTGTCCCACTCAAATGCAATGTTAATACAACAGGCCCCTCCTTTAAAACCCGATATGGATTATGTTATTTTCAATATAATTATCACAGTGCTCAGCGTGCCACTGTAAAATCTGTGCTCAAGCAGATATTAGCCTCCAGCCATTCCATCCCCCTCTGGGCCAGCCCTTCTAGTTTAAACACTTCTAATCTTTAGGATGCATGAACATGTTCTGTTCCCATTCAGTGTCTTTGCACTTACACTTTTCTTCATTCGGGTAACCACTAATGAGTCCAAACTCAACCTGGATATCACTTCTCACAAGAATTCTGGTCCGGATTCTCTCTTCTCCAGATAAGATCATTTTCTCTAGTTTCATGTGGCATGCACACATTTGTTATAAAGTATTTTCTATGTTTAAAAAAAGTTGACTTAAATGCTTTCCTTGCTCCAGGAGGAAGCCACAAACTGCTGTATCTACCTCTACCTTCTCAAATGTATATATTTATCTACTTGTTTGCCTACATGATCTGTCGTCTTTCCATTTCTCTGTTGTAATTGTTTATGCACATTAACATGTTATATGCCAGACACTAAACCAACTTTTGAGATGAAAGAAATGATCATAGCACAACTACTATTTCATTTTTATCAAATGAGACTGGATTTATATTCACCATTGCCTTCTATGTCCTGAGTTCATTCCTCATAATTTATTTATGCTCCTTTCTTTCCCTTGCCTTTCTTGCTCAGCTGAGCCACTGTATCTTTTGTGTCCTTGGGAAAGAAAGTTGCATCCAAGAAACTTCTTACCTTAGCCTTCTTACCTTCTCTCAAAGCTAAAATTTGATAAAATCCTATGGCTTACTTTTATCATGAGGTGAGGACCAAGATCTTGCTTTAAAGGCAGCAGTAAAGCCTGTGCTACTGTTCAGTGTGCATGAAACATAACTCACCATCTGATGGCTCTGTGCTGTGTCTTCCTCTCTCTATCCTGGAGAGGCAGCATTATAATGGGGGGAAGGAAAACTCTCCCTCCAAACAAAGGCACCTCGACTTGATCAGCCCAATGCCCAGAGAAACAGCCTTTTACACATTTTCACAGGCAGTGCCTGTTCTGGGCTTTCAACACTTGGAAACATGAGCCATTCAATCTATGTGAGCTTGGAAGCTTCTGGAAGAAAACCAAGCATGCAACCAGCATTTCTGCTTGCTTTACTTTTAAATAATTATTTTTATTGGCTATATTTTTTGTGGCATTTAATGGAATATATACATATATGCTTACATATTTACCTAATATTTTGTTTTATTAAAATATTGGTTCATCTACTTAATTTTTATTTTCTTATAAATTACTTCCTCATATTTTTCATGATGTGTGATTTTCTATATTGTACTACCTTCATACTATTTAGAATATTATGTCATATTAAAAACAGATATCATTATATTTCATTTAACTGAAAATATTTTGTTTACTATTATGACTTTCATATCAGGTTTGTCTTGATTATCTTTCAGACTCCCTTAATAAGATCACTGAGGGATAGTTTTGCTTAATTCTCTAATAACTATATTAAAGAACTATCAATGGAA